TGGAGCGGGCTTCTGGGCATGTGCCACCCTTGGGGCCCCCCCGCCGGCGGTGACCACGTTGGGGCAGCTTGGAGGCCCCTGGGGAGACAGGGCGCCCCTCCCCAAGACACCAGAGACACCCGGGACCCCGGGGCCAGGACGAAGGGGGACAGGCCCAGCCCGCGGGCTGCTCCCAGTCCAGGTGGGCTTGGATCTGGGCACCCCCACCCCAGTCCCAAGCAGTGAGTGCTGGGGCTCCACGTGCCTGGGAGTGGGCATGGCCACAGGCTCGGGTCGGCGCCCTCTGGGTTGAGGTCGGCATCTGCCTGGAGTGAGCGGGACCCCAGGTGTGCCAGGGTGGGCCTGGCTGTGCAGAGCCAGGGCAGGGGGACCCCCCGGGCTCCCACTTCCTGCGGGTCCGAGGAGACTGCAGTCAAACGAGTGTCCTCAAAACGCTTGTCTACACTTGCCGGAACTCAGTCTCAGGCTTTACCACACTGTTTCTTTCTTTCTTTCCTTCTCTCCCTCTTTCTCCCTTCCTTCCTTTTTCTTTTTTTTCTTTCAGCCGGAATCACACTCTGTCACCCAGGCTGGGTGCAGGGGCACGCTCACGGTGGCCACAGCCTCGACCTGCTGGGCTCAGGCGGTCCTTCCGCCTCAGCCTCCCAAGTAGCTGGGACCACAGGCACATGCCACCACACCTGGCTCACTTTTTGATTTAATGTGGAGACGAGGTCTCACCAAGTGGCCCAGACTGGTCTCGAACCCCTGGACTCAGGCGATCCTCTCGCCTCGGCCTCCCAGAGTGCTGGGATGACAGGCTTGAGCCACCGCACCGGGCTTCTCCTTCCTTCCTTCTCCCTCTTTCTCTCTCTCGCCCTCTCTTCTTGGGGTCTCGCCCTTTCACCCAGGCTGGAGTGCGGTGACATACTCAGGGCTCGCCACACCCTCGGCCTCCGGGCTCGAGTGATCCTTCTGCCTCAGTCTCCTGGGTAATGGGCCTACCCACGCCCAGCTAATTCTTGGATTTTCTGTAGAGACGAAATCTCGCCATGTTGCCCCGGCTGGTCTCCCAGGCTGAGGTGACCCTCCCACCTGGGCCTCCCACAGCTGGGATTCCGGGCGTGAGCCGCCGCCACGCCCGGCTAAAGTGTTCCGTAAAGGGTCTGTCTGACCTGCTTCCCTTTGGGGAATTCACCTGAGAGGAGCTCACTGCACTGCAAAAACCGGCACCCAGGACTCCAACACAGAGACCCCCCATCCAAGGCCCTGGCACTGGCCTTGCGTCTCAGCCTTCCCAAGAACTTTGAAAACGCTTCCCCTGGTAGCCAGCAGGTTCCCACGTTCCTTTCTCTGGCCCTGCCCTTGGCCTGGCCCCGCCCTCTCCCCCTTCCCTCACCCAGATGGCCTAAAACATCCTGCCTCCCCTCAGACCCACCCACGGCCCCTGCCACCCTAGTTCTTGGCCTTGAAGACACCCCGCTTTCCTTGTGTTCAGGGCCCGGTCCTGTCCCCGGGACGGCTCAGCTGCTGTGGCAAGAAAGCTCCCACCCCAGAGCCTTTGCCCTGGAGGGGACCCCCCTCCCAAGTCTCTGCTCCCACGGGAGCCCCTCCCTCACAACCCCGCCCTCCAAGCAGCACCCCACCTCTCTGAAGCCCTACACCATCCCTGTCTGGACTTGGGGCCTGAGCCATCGCCGTGTGTCTCCCAGGGCCATCTCTCTCTCCAGGGGCATGGCGGACGTCACTGCGGGGCGGCCTGGCGGGGAGGCCCTGTGTGCCTCAGTAGCTCAGTGTCGTGCCCCAAAGCCCTCTCTGAAGTCCAGGGCGCTCTCACGGGAGGGTCTTCAAGGGATGAGGTCTGTGAGCTCGCTGGAGCATTCCCTCGCAAGGAGCGGCGCTGCCCGCCCCGCCCCCGGGAGCCCGTGGGGGTGCTGTGGCCCCCTTGGGAATCAGGCTGCCGCTGGCACCTCACGTCCCCTTGATGACGCCCCCACCTCGAGCCTGGGGAAGGAGGCTTCAGGGCTCTCTCTGCAGCCAAAACCCAGCTCTCGACTCCCTGCTGGGGTCCCAGGCAGAGTTGGGAGAGCCCCTGGCTGGACTAGGGGTCCAGGCTCCTCTGCCCGCCCCTCCTCCCAGCCTCCCCCCCACCGCCTCTGCTTCCCCTCCTCTCCATCCTCCCTAGTCCCTCCTCCAGCTCCCCTCCCAGCTCCCCCTCCTCCCCAGCTC